CTATCCAGTGCGCCACCGGGCCGGCCCATAAAGACTCCATTTCTAAGTAAGGTCCCATTCACAGGTTCCAGGGGTCAGAACGTGAACACATCTTTATGGGGGACACGATTCACCCTCAGCAGGGAGTCACATCATGGGCACCCGCAGGCAGACAATGAACAGACAGACGGGGACTCCATCCTCGAGGGGCTCCCACGCCAGGGGGAGGAGGCCTGGGAAGGCGGTGATCCTGCCATTCCCGACGCAGCAGCTTTGCAGGTGTGAATGCAATTGTGCCAAGCCATGGTGCCCAAGGTGCCCAAAGGCAGGAAGCCTGGTGGGGCAGGGTCAGGGACGGCAGGCCTGGGATGCTACAGTGTGACAATGGGCCAGGGCCCAGGGCTCATGAGGGTGCTATTGGTGTCCTCCTCTGCCCAGGGATCCTTCCCTGGAAGCATGGAGAAGCCGCCTCCCAGGGTGACTCACCTGGCATTTCTGCTGCAGCCGACCCGGCGTGGGGCTGAAGCCTGTGCCACCTGCAGGGAAGACAGGACAGTTAGGACTCCCTCAGCCAACGGGGGACCTAGGGCCACTCTGGGTAGGGTGCTCTCTGCCAGGCTGCCTGCTGAAACGCCCCTGAAAGGGTTGGCCCCATGGCTCACTCGGGAGAGTGCAGTGCTGATAGCGCCGAGGCCGCAGGTTCGGATCCTATATAGGGATGGCCAGTGCGCTCACTGGTTGAGCATGGTGCAGATGACACCAAGCCAAGGGTTGCGGTCCCCTTACTGGTCAAACCCCCCAACCCCCTGAAAGTGCCTGGTATCAGGGCTCTGGCCAGAAAGGCTTCAGGCTTAGCTGGCGCAACAGGCCCAGATATGGAACTGACAGGCGCCACCTCCCCTCAGAACCCAGTGGCACCATCATGCTACAGCTCCTCCCACACACAGCCCTGGAACCAGGATGTGCCTGAGCTCCCGGCCCCCACCCCGACTCCTGCCTTGAGCCCATGGTGGACCTGAGCATCTCCTGCCTGCTGTAAGGCCTGACTTCCCAGTGAACCACCAAGAACTGGGTTCAAGCTCACTGCTGTGTGACCTTGGGCAAGGCACACCACCTCCCTGTGCCGCAGTTTTTACCCCTGTATGCCTCGCAGGGCCAAGGACCCACCACAGCCTAAGTGGCACCTGTGGCTCTTCTGAGACAGAACCCCATGAGCTTGGGTCGTGGAGCGGCCCCACCCCAGGCTGCTCCTACTCACACAACGAGCAGCATTTGGCCTGGGCTATGAGGCCAGCGGGCAGACGTGTCATCCTCAGGTAGTGGGCCAGGCCAATGGAGCCATGCATGGAGCTAGTCATCACGGCCCAGTGGGGTCTGAACTGCCCCCAGCTTCTAGACTGGGAATGGGTGTGAGGAGATGGACTCCGGGTGGAAGCTGGGGACCTGCTTCTCACCCACCACTAGGGGAAAAGGTTCCAGTGACATCAGTGCCCCAGGTCCAACCCCTGCTGGATGAGGTGCCACCAGCCAGGCAGGCTTCCCTCAGGGTGTCTGGATGGGACACCCTACTGCCCTGCCCTGTCCCTCAGCCACTCCCTCCTCTCATGTGGAAGGAGATGTGTCAGAAGCAGTGGCGGGTCTGCTGCCCCCCACTGCAAGGACTGAGCATGCCTGTGGCTCCTGCCCCCCGCCACCTCTGCTCCAGCCAGCACTGGCCCCAGGGTCCTGTCCGCTGCACGGGCTCCCTAGGCAGCACCCCTTTCCTGTCCTGAGGGGCTGGGACATCCCCCTAGCAATGAGGCTCCTCAGGGCAAGCAGGTCCTGGGACCCCAGCAGCACCTGTGCAGGCTGGATAGACATTTGCTGGATGGACCAAGAGCCCCTGCTCCAAGTCCCACATAAACAGATGGTTCCAGGCCTAACTGTCCCATGACAGACTCATGCTGGCCTCTTTGGGTAAACAGGCAGCAGGAGCCTTCAGTCCAGCTGCCCAAGGCTGGTGGCTGCGCCCGGGTCTACACTCCAGAGCAGGCAGGGAGGGATCACCTGGGTGCCCTCCTCTGCCACAGAAACAAACCTGAGCCTCTGACCACACCTGCCTCAGCAGGTCCCCTCCCCAGGCCCCACCACGCAGACCGCCTGCCCCCGTGCAGGCCCCAAGGACCCCTGACACCCTGCACCTCTGTCAACAGACACCAACTTGGCTTTGGGTTGTTTATTTTCATATATCAGAGCTGCTCCCTGACACCCGAAACAAAGGGGACACAATGACAGAGAACCACGAGACCACAGCTTGGGGGCTGGACCCCCATTGAGGTCAAGTCCAGGGAACAGCTCACTCCAAATGGAAATGAGCCCAGGCGCTCTTCGCTTGCTGGTGGCCTGGGCTGGAAGGCACCAGCACACACAGGCAGGTGGTGAGTGTCCTTAAAACTGAGGCAGGATCACAGCCCCAGGAAGACGTGGAAGCAGAGAAAGTTCCAGAGGAGGAGGGGCTAGCCTACGTGTCAGGGTCCAGCCAACGGCACTGGTCTTCGAGGATGCCTCGGAATACCTGGAAACGGTGGTTGAGGTCAGGCCGGGCATGGAGGCGGAAGCGGGTGCCCAGGGCACCATCAGGAGAGGGTGCCCCATAGAAGACGCGCTGGATGCGGGAATGCACCAGGGCCATGGCACACATGGCGCAGGGCTCGCGGGTGACGTAGAGGTCGTAGCCAGTGCACACGTAGGGGAGGCCGTCCTCATCCTCGTCCAGCTTGTGCACAGTGCCCGCCCAGATGGCCTGGGGGGCCACGGCAAAGGAGCAGGTGGGGTGGGGCCTGAGGTCATGGGCACCCCGGCCCTGGCCCTGGGCCACGAGGTCCACACACACCATGACGGCATGCAGCAGGGGGCTGGCTGCACCACGGCAGTCGTGGCCCGTGGCTAGCACATGGCCTGAGGCTGGCTCCACCACCACGGCCCCCACAGCCCGCAGGCCCCGAGCCGCTGCCTGCTGCGCCGCCTGCACGGCCTGTTCCATGTGGCTCTGCATCACAGCCCGCTCCTGTGCTGAGAAAAGCTGCCCGGCCAGGGCACTGGTCACCTGCTTGTCCTCATGGAAGGATGTGGGCCAGTGGGCCCGAGCCTCCTCAAACTGGCCCCTGGTCAGGGGCGGCCGGGCGGGCACGAGCACCAGGAAGGGCTGACCCAGGCCACGGGGATCCACAGCCGGCCGCGGGAGGAGCTCGGCCAATGAGCGTGTGCCCGCAGCCGGGCCTGCCAGGCATAGCAGCATCTCCAGCGTACGCGGGCCGCTGGTGTCACAGCGGGGCCGCACCCGCTTGAGGTGTGGCTGGGCGGGCAGTGGGTGGACGGCTGACACCTCCCTGAGCAGGCGCGAGGTCTGGCGCGCGTCGAGCACCGGCGCGGCATAGGCTGGCACCAGCTCCACGGCCCCGGACTGCTGCTCAGACAGGACTGGGAGGGCTTGCCACGGTGCCGGCGCTCGCTGCGGGCTCCTGGCCTCCTTGGGCCCTTGCTGCTCTGCGGTGGGCTCCATCCTCGCGAGGCTCTGACTGTGGGAGACAGATTGGAGCACAGCATCATCGGTCAGCCGCAGAGGCGTGGGTGAGCCGGGGAGTCCACGAAGCGTGTGCTGCACGAGGCTGAACCAGCCGAATCTGCAGGCTCATCCAGGAGATCCAGCCCAGTGACCTGCATCCCTGGTCACGCTGACTCACGTCCTACTGACTCCTGGTTTGCACAGTTTAAAGTGCCACTGGTTTTGTAAAATTGATATATAACTCATATACCATAATATACATCATCTTACAGGATACAATTAATTCTCTGGCTTTTAGTATGTTTGGAGCTGTGCAACCATCACTGCTATCAAGCTCTAGAACGTTCTCATCATGCCCCTCCCTCACCCCACACACACATCAACCCCCAGCAACATCTCCAGAAGTCAGAGATTGGAAGCACAAGCATCTGACGTGCCGTGACTGGTTTCAAGATGGAGGCGCCACATGGCCAGGAACTAGAGCAACCCCCTGCTGATGGCCAGCAAGGCTTCAGGTCAAGGAACTGACTCTGCCAACAACCTGCATGTGTTGCGAACCAGTCTCTCCCGAGTCGAGCCTCCAGGTGGGAATGCAGCCCTGGCTGACATCTGGATCCAGCCTGGTGAGAGACTGAACAGAGGACCAGCCCTGCTATTTCCAGGCACCCAACCTACAGGACTGAGAGCTGACAGCGAACCAGTCTCTCCCGAGTCGAGCCTCCAGGTGGGAATGCAGCCCTGGCTGACATCTGGATCCAGCCTGGTGAGACTCTGAACAGAGGACCAGCCCTGCTATTTCCAGGCACCCAACCTACAGGACTGAGAGCTGACAGATGTCACTTTAGACTGCTAGATTTACAGTAGTTTGCTGCACAGTGACAGGAAATGGACACGCCAGTCTTGGGGGCCATAGGACCACCTCCCAGAACAACATAGCCCAGCACTAATACAGAGCGGCCACCTGCAGGTAGTTTCTGCAGAAGTCTCACCAGCCTGGCCTGCAGAAGGCTGGACAGAAAGAAGACTGTGTGGGCTGGCCGGTTAGCTCAGTTGGTTAGAGAGTGGTGTCAATAACACCAAGGTCAAGGGTTCAGATCCCTATACCAGCCAGCTGCCAGAAAAAGCAAAAATAAAATAAAGTAAAATAAATAAGGCAGACCACAGGAGAAAGTCCTGGAGCACAGCCCTCGCTGATGGGCCAGCTTCCTGTCCGCTGGACAAGGTCTCTGCAGCCCTAGTGGACTCTGGCTGTCTAGTGGGGCCTGAGCCCAAGCCTCCCCCACCTCCTCCAAGGTCACAGCAGACACCCTGAAGGAAACGGGGCTGCGTGAGGGGGCCCAGGCTTGAGCGCACCTCTGTGGGCTAGCCTGGGAACCAGCATCACTCCATCTGGGCCTCCTGCTAACGCCTCCTGCCTGCAGGGTGTTGTGCCAAGTGCTCTCCCCTGAAACCTCACAGACTGACGTGCCAGCCCCGTGATCATCCCCACTGTACTGGTGAGGAAAGTATGGCTGCGGGAGTCCCTCCACTGGAGAGGAGCAGGGCTGGCCAGGGCCCCCTGGCTCTTGGCCCTCAGAGCAAACCCCTGACACCTCCCCTCCAAGAGCAAGAGGAGAGCCCACCCTTAGGGGGCACAGACAGCAAGTGAGGGGAGGTGGGCACCTGCTGGGGACAGTAAGTCTGTGGAGGAACAGGTAGCGCCACAGTGTGGGAGGAGGGACTTCACGCACAGGGACACGGTGCTCCCCCCCACCTCCCCAGCCCAAGTCTGCCCCAGCCACCTTGCCCACCACATCCCCTGTGGAGGCCATGCCAGCACTAAGTCCAGCCCAGCCTGGCATCTGAGGCTCACCCATAACACACCCCAGCATCTCAGCCTGACCCCAATTAGGTGGAACCTGAGGAAGAGATGGCCGCAGTGCTGGGGACAGCTGCACAGCCACCCAGCCACCCCCATACCATGAAGAACAGAGCTTGCACCACAGGCTCTGTTTCTGCAAATGATGGACGTCCTCCCAGCAAATGACTGAGCCTGGAGGTGGTCTTGGGATCCCCGACACACACACTGTCCATGTGACATGAAGATATTGCCCCCGTTCATAAAGGAGCTGGCGTGGCACAGGGAGACTGAGACAGTCAGTCACTGCTGGGCCTGGGTCCAGAACAGCGCTCGGGCAAAGACCCTCCAGACAGACAGAGACACAGACTGAGCACCGTCAGGGCCCAGGGAGGAGAAGCCTTCCCCAACGGGCTCAAAGCCAACTCACAAAGGAAACATCCTTAGGGCCACCACTCTCGGGGGTATCTTAAGCTGAAAGAGATCGGCCCAGTGACACCAGCAGTGGGGAAAGGCGAGAGATGAGAGAGGGGGATAAAGGAATCAGCATGGAAATACAACAGACCGAGGTGGCCCCACATGAGCCCAAGCCCGTGCTCCTCTGTGTCCTTACTGCCCTGTTCGTCCAGAAGTGGGAACAAGAAATGATGCAGTCGAGACAACACGGCAGTGGGGACACTTCCCACAGTGACGGACACCAGAGCCTCAGCCAGGGGAAGAAACTCCCACTGACTGAGGCCCACAAGCTGACCCTTGGCTGGAAACCCCATCACCTCCACGGCACAAACCAGGGGCTGGCAAACTGCAGCCAGAGAGCGGGCCTCCTGCAGCCAGTTCCTTTATGACTCAGTCAACGTTTCCTGGGGGTCTCTGTCGGCCGGGTGAGGACTCGGCGGCAGGAGTTGGTGGAGGAGAGATGGACGCTAAGCACAGAGAACACTCAAGGGAATAACTCCAAGTGCAGAGTGTCAGTGCTGCTATGGACTGAAAGCCTGCGTCCCCCCAAATTCATGCTCAACTCCTAACTCCCAAGGTGACAGGCCTAGGATGGGAAGCCTTTGGGAGATGAGGTAATGGGGTGGAGCCCTCCTGAATGGGATCAGTGGGTTTATGAAAGGGACCCCAGAGAGCCGCCTCACCCCTTCCACCACGTGAGGACACAGCGAGAAGGCGCCGTCTATGAACCCGGAAGCCCTCACCAGACACAGACTCT